CAAGGACCGAGAGCCACTCGAGGTAGAGGGTTACAGAATAAGGAGCACAATTTATGCAAATATGAGAGGAAGATAACAGTTAATCCTTGACATGAACATGTTAAGATTGTAGTGATCAAGGAAACATCCTCTTGGGCATCGGTTCTACAAAGCAGAAGTGATGTGGAGTTATCTTTATTTATATTATTTAAACACAGACTATTGTCCACGTCTTTGTCAGTCATTTCACAATGTTTCAGCCATTGTACCCTCTGGCCTTCATTCGCTGAAGTTTAACCAGATTGACAATCACCTGATGAAGGGCAGAGGGCACAGTTGCCGAAACATTGTAATATCAATAAAACTGAGGACAATATTTGTAAATAGAATACAGGTATTAGTAAAAATTTAGTTTAGAACATATTATCAAGATTTAACAAAGGTGACAAGTGATGAGGTTCAACCTCACTATCACTCTCACTCCATTTGGACACTGAGGTGTCCTTGGACCTGTTATGTTTATAAGGCCTTATAGTTAAGAGGTATACATTTTAAATCTTATATCAAGTGATGCTGATAAGTACCATGCGTGTACATATATATAATAATAATGGCTGGCCACTCATATTTGAGGATACCTGTCTACTAATGTAGCTAGCTAATCCCTATTGCAGATGCTTGCACAAGAACATTTTGTGTTGGCTCAACACTCACAGAGCCCACCAGTGGTTTATACTGCAAGTATGCTGAGCAGACTTTAGTTACAGTTTCTGGGAGAGAGCATGCAATCTAGTGTAAACAACAATCTGAGCAAGGCCAGCACAGTCAAACCCTCAGGCACAATGACTTGTAACTTTGTGCTAGCACAGCCATCAACAGCCCTCCACCCCAAGGATTCCATCTATCCAATTTCACTCACAAGGCTTGGGTTAACCATGGTTTGATTTTCAGGCACTTTCCAAAGAGGCCACCCTCCAGACTGATAATTTCAGGAAGTCACCTTGACAAATCGACCATAGTGAGATTTGAACCCTGGTCTCATGGTGAGAAAGTAAATGTTCTTGGGTGTATTTGGCCAGGAGTTTTTAATTTATAGAAGTTTGATTAAAGACTAAAGAATGTTCTTTATTAAAGTTTTTTAAAATTATTTTTTTCATCTATGACACATATATATATATATATATATATATATATATATGATATGTCCCAGAAAGGGATATATTTATTCAAAGTAGCAAAGTGGTTGTTGACTACTGTAACCAGGCAGGACAATCTAGTAAGTAACCATAATAGACTGGTCCTTGTCGTAGTGGAAGACAATAGGCATCATCCATGTACCTCCACATCAGTCTGTATTTATGGCTGACACCAGCCAATCCTATTACTGTGAGGGGGAACCCAGGTGTATGCATATTCATTACATCAATATATATGTTGTCATCCACAGACAGACTGTTTCGCTCTATCACAGCTCATCAGTCTGGATAGACATCCAATTGCTTCAAGCCAGGATTGAAACCTGACTTATTTGGCATCAGTCAGAGATTTTTCCTCTCAGCTCTCAGCAGAGAGGAAGGTGAATTTTTACATATTTATTTTGAATAAATATACCAGTGACTCAGAGTGCTCAGTTCATAGAAGAGCTTTGCATTATCAGCAGTAGCAGTCACAGTTTACAAATTCATGCTTTCTTTCTAAAGTGCTCAACCAAAATATGTATTCAAACAAGTTATAATAAAACTGCTGACAAGGCGTGTTTCAATTTTTCTGCTTTATTCCAGCTGGTGTCTAAATTATTGCACATGATCAAATTTGTAAAAAAAAGCTATCCAAAGTTCATGTTTTTTTTAGTACTTTTGACCATCTCTAGTAATTATTAAGAAATGTAATCTGCACTGATAATCAAGAAATCAATATTAAATTCTTATATAGTTTACACAGCCACCACACTTTCTTGCAGGTTAACTTGTCACTTATTAAAATTTAGTACAATTTGTACACATATTGAACATTACGTCAGAAACAACCAAAATACAACAATTAATATAAGATAAATATTAGTACCTCAAACTAAGTTACTATGCAGCTCTCACTGTAAAGAATAACTTAGAATACTCAAATAAATTATTATACAAAATAACAAACCACATTAAACATAATATATTTTCCCACATGGGGTTTTAAAATGATGGATCAATAAGCCTGTAGCCCGAAATAAATGTAGCTATTGACTGAATTTTATCTGAAACTTTCACTGTATGGTGTTTATAATTGTGTTTATAAGTCCCTTCATTAGTTCACATGACCATTACGCCCTGCCAGTACCTCATAAATAATGGACTATTCTGTTTTAATTGCATTGAAAGAGGGGGAATCTAATTGGTTTCAGTGAGAAAATGAAAGAAAGAAAGAAGGTAAGACAGAAGTTGAGAGAGAATTAGATTAAGCTGATAAGAACAGATACTACATTTTGATCTTAGCCTAAAGGCTGAGAAGCGGTATTCACCTCTCACATCCACCATCCACCCCACCGAGTTCAGGATGCGACACAAGGTCAGTTTTTTAATGTGGGGAAATCCAAGTGTTTCCACCAGGGCCATGATCAAAATTTACCCAGCTCCCACTTATGCGGGTTCGGGCACAAGATGTACAATATCAAAAAATGGAAACCAATTAAGGCAATTGCTAAAAACCTTGTTATGATAAATAACATTGTCTACTGAATTATATTGAAATTATTAAGAGAAATGTTTGTAAGGTGGGGATTTTGCTAGTATGCTAGAAACAAGTCCATTGACAAGGAACGAGCTTATGTTGAAAAAGAAATATTTGTCATGTAGAATAAATGCTTTTTCATTGTTAGTCTGCAAATGTATTGTTGTACCTACATACATATGATAGTATATGTTTATGTTTTATTTGTTTAATAATATATATATATATATATATATATATATATATATGCATGCATATATGGATATGAGTTTGTGAGCCTGGGTTTCATACTTTTTCAATCATCAGACAAACCAGGGCCACAAACTCATATCCATATAACTTATTATGTTAGCTCTATCACTGATATTTAGCATTTTCTACTAAGTAACACGCATATAAAATAATATATATATATATATATATATATGAATAAAATTTTTTTTTTTAAATTTTTTAAATGGATTTTTTTAATGCAATATTATTTCATATTACTATAAACATTATTTTTAATGGGTACATATATTTGAGTTGCTAGCCCTGTTTTTTATTTTTTTAAACAGCAAAATTAATAATAATTGGCGAAGATCAAACAATCCTACTAAAGATATTCTCAAGTGACCAAATAGGTAGTGGCACATTTTGGCTATAGAAGTGGTTTTAATGATGGAAAAAGTGATCTAGGTTCAATTCTTGTCAGGAGACATAATTTTTCTTCTGTAGCAATTCTCAGTCGAGGCCAGTTGTTACTAATTTCACTTAAAGAAAGTAAAGAAATAATTCAAACACCTACTAAAAATGATGTTTATAATAATAAAAAATATATGTAGATATATACGTATATTTTTACATAAAAAACTACTTTCTGATATCTATATTTATTTGTATTTATAATTCAAGAAATAAATGATTAAAACTGCAAATGTTTTGTTTATCAAAAATATATAAATATATATTTGAAATTTTTACTTATATAAATACATATTCAGTTCAATTAATGATTTTATATTTAAAATATTAAAAAAGGATTTCCACAAAGAGAAATTCAGAATTTGAAATCAACACTGATTAATATTTATTAAGGAAAAAGAAGAGTGTATCTAAAATAACTTAAAAGGGAGGGGCTTGATAAACCCCACCTAAAAATCCCTCTCAATGTTACTCATGGTGTTGAGGCATATAAATTTCTCATTACAAAATATTCCAGAAGTATCATAAAAATTGTGATGATGGAATTTATAAGTCTTTGAAAAATTGGATTATCAATAAAATTTTCAAAATATACCAAAGTCAAATTATATATGTCTTTTTATTATTATTTTTAATACTGCATATAAAATATTGAAAGAAAAATGAGTATAATATCAAATTTATATTGTATATGATTTATACAGTTCTATATTGAAGCAAGGTATTTTATAGGATAAATAATTTCTTTAAGCAACACTGAATTGATATTGGTTAACAAAGATTTATATTATTAAAAATATTGTTCAATTTTAGGTTTTGTTGTACTATCTTTGATTTAATTAGAAAAAGTAATTTTTCTTGTTCATACTGAAAGTGGTTAATTAGATTTTCAAGTTTAATAACTTTGAAATTTATTATAAATCTTTTACAAAAATTATGTCAAAAACATTAGTGAAATTGTTTCTAAAAAATTAAGAAATCTGAAAATATAAAAAAAAGAAAATTCATACCAAATGTTATGAAGTGTGAGAATCATAGTCTCTTACTTGACTGAATCTCTCTGTAATGGAATGAATACATGTCAGAACAAATATAATAATAAACGGTAACGGTACTATAACCCATTTCCTTATAAGGAAACATTTGGCATTCATTGACCGAGTGACCAATACTATTGTCGGTTGAAATTTATAAAAGCTTTCACTTAAAACAATTTTTCAAGTCCAGTAGTTGTTGTTGTTGTTCATTCCAATATTGATGTGCATTTCCATCCTAACCTTTTGTTTGAGGTGATGTGGAACATCAACATTCTTGATTATGTCATTATTTTCTTGTCGAGCTACATGAGCTACGTTTTTAACATTTGGTGAATTTGAAAATCTTCAAGTGATGTGGTTTCTGTTATTTGGTAGAGTTCTTTGATTGTGATTCTGCAGCACCAGTCTGCAAGGCTCAAAGAAGGATGGTCCTCCCCAAGACCTACAGGCTTCATTCACTGCAAGCTATTTTTAAACACTGAGAAGGTGCATTGTGGAAGATGTAAGAAACGGTACATGAAGTCATAACTTATTTTGCAAGTCAATGCTAGGCATATAATAATGAGCAGAACAGAAATGCATTTAATGATAGATAGATATGAACAGGGATAGATAGATAAATATTAAAAGCTTTAAATAGATAGATATGAACAGGGATGGATAGATAGATATTAAAAGCTTTAGATAGATAGATATGAACAGGGATGGATGGATAGATATGAAAAACATGAAATAGATAAAGAGAGAGAAATTTTTGTTAGAAGTGATGCAGACAAAAAGTAAAAGCTTATATTTTTACAAATGTTGAAATATTAACCTTTCATTTTATTAATTTTTATTTCACCAGTTTATCATCATAAAGAATCAGTTTTTATCAATGTGCAGATGGATTATATCATATACTCAATCACTTTGAAATTTATTATCAATCTTTTATAAAAATTTATGTCAAAAACATTATTATTTAAGTTTACATAATTGGAATCATATGCATTTTGTTTGGAATTTTATTTTAAATACAAGAAGGTAATTCACCTTTGTGGTGCCTAATTTTAGTAGCCTACTCTCTACTCTATGACATGGATTTAAAAAATGAATTCTACAAAATTCATCTTCTGCTTAAATTATCGGGGTTACTGGTACACCAACAGCTAAAAATCCCTGTTAAACACACTAGTCCTCTGATGACCCCAGAGTGAGATATGTAAGATTATCAATGATTAAATTATGATTACAAATAAAATTTAAAAGGGGTTGCTAAAAAGTTCTCAGCCTGCACCACTTCCAAAAATTAATGTTTAATGACCAAACATCAGAATTTTTGGAAGAAAAAAATGATGTACCAAGTGTCTTGAATGGTGTGGGTGTATATGTGCAATAGCAAACATGTCACAGTTCAAAGTCTTTTTTATTGGTTGGCCTGAACTATTCAGCACCCCTTGTAATATTAAAATATAAAAGAAGCTGATATATGAGTAAAGATGAATTATCAGTCAAATATTATTATTGTTTCCCCTAAATACTCCTTTGCAGATTATAGGTTCTCGTTATATTGTGATAAATACAATATCTAATATATCTTATTAGAAAGGTCAGTATCAATTATGCAATTATTTTACCTAAAGAAATATTTGGTGCAGAGCTCAGGGGTGTGAGGTGTAATAAAGATAGGCTACTTGTATCTCTTCAAGCTGAAATGAAAATTTCCTAATTGGGTATTTTTGGAAGGTTTTAAAAAAAAATAACAAATAAAAAAAAAACAAAAAAAAACACATGATTTTAAATCAACTACCACCAATATTCATTCTACATGAGCCCTGGAATTGATTTATCCCTATTTGCCATAGGCATTTATAACCAAGATAACATTGGGTCACCTTGCTAACATGTAATAAAATTATATAATGTCTGATAAAACACAACCATATCAAATGAAATATATTAGTTGTAAAGGAATGGATGGAAAAGGAAAGAAAGGAAGAAAGAAAGTAGAGAAAGAAGGAAAAGATAGAAAAAAGAAAAGAATTAAGAAAGAAAGAGAGAGAGATGAGAACAAACAATAAAAGAAAAAAGAAAAGAGAGAAAGAAGAAAAAGATAAAGAAAGAAACAACAATAAAGAAACAAACAAACAGGAAAGAAAGAAGAGAACAAACAAGAAAGAAAGAAAGAAAGAAGGAAAAATACAGAAAGAAAGAGGAGGACAAAAAATAAAGAAACATACAATAAAGAAAGAAGGAAAAGAAAGAAAAGATAGATAGAAGGGAAAGAAAGAAGAACAATAAAGAAAGAAACGAACAAGAAAAAGAAGAGAAGACACATTAAAGAAAGAAACAAACAGTAAGGAAAGAAAGAAGAGAAAGAAAGAAAATAGAGAAAGAAAGGAAGAGAGAAAGACAGGCAGGAAAAGAAAAAAATAAAGGAAGAAAAAAAGAATCTTTACATGATACTTTTATGATTTAATTTAACAATTATTAATATTATTTTTATAAAATTGTAATGCATTGGAAATCTGGAGTTATTCATTTGATTTTTCAATTAAAATAAAATCCATAAACAAATTCTTGGACATTATGTAAATAAACAACTTATATTACTAATAAAAAAAGAAAAAAACAAAAATGCCATCCCCACCCCAACTCCCTAATGCCACCAGTCGTTAGTTACTTGCACTGTTAGTTTCAACCACGGCACAAAGATGATTTACTGATAACTTTAACAATGTCAGTAAAACATCTTATGAATTTCTGCACCGTCATAAATTTTCTCCTATTTAATTTAAAAATTTCATAGAATTTTTGAAAAAAGAAAATCAATGCGTATGACAAAAATGTTGGTCTGTTTTCAAAAAAAGCTACTATTCTGAGACTAAAGAAAAAAATAAAACTTTTTCATGAATAATTTTGATTAATAAAAAGAAAAGTTTATTACTGATAGTATCTATCTTAAAAAGAAATTTTCTCTTTCCCTTCATCCATATATATAATATAAACAATTAATTACTAAATTGAAATTTCATTCCAATTAAACACAAGTTAATATTTTTAAATACAGTGCTCAATATCCTGAGGACAGAACCACATATAGTGTAATGCTATGTTTTTTAGATCTTATTAAAGTGTGACAAGCATGCACATAACTGAAAGTTTCAAACTGATCGAGCCTGTGATATAATCCATCTCAGCATTGATAAAAACTGATTGTTGGATGCTTAAAAGAGAAACTTTTAATTACACAAATCAAATGTTGAACTATATATATATATATATATATATATGTTTTTTTTTTACATTTTTTTCTCTTAATGCCATGTCTCTTTATAATATAGGCCAGTGTTTACTAAATAATGTGGCGTGCCTCATGCATGCAGCAGAAGAGGATAGAAGATGAGGCGGAATGATTGAAAGACAATCAAAAATTTAGAAACAGTTTCAAAAAATTCATATGCTAAAAATAAATATGATTTCAAAATTTAAAATACTATTATGGATTACTTGTAATTGCGTGCATGAGTCCCAGTATAAATAGTTATAAATAATTAGTGACCGATTTTCATTGTGATATTTTTGCATTATATTAAGTATTGAGAATATAGTAACTAGGGTCTGCAAATTAGAGGAGAGAGTTATCAATGATAATGTTCTGACTTCGAATCTGCAGTTATCTCCCTATAACCCTCTCTCTATGTTTTGTATTTTTAAATATACTTTTTATCACATATAATTTGCTGAGGTACAGATTTTCATTCCAAAAATGCATCCCAGAGAAAAAGTTTGGGAATCACTTGGTATAGAGGATCATGGCTCCAAATTTATTTTCCTTATTATTCTGTGAATTGCTATGACTACATAGGAATGATAGGAAAGTGGTTTTCTCTTTCACTCTTCATGGTTTTGAAGTTCAAATAGTCATTCTTTCAGACAAGTTACCATTCAAGGATAGATAACCCAGTCTACCCTACTATTTAACCAATAGCTTGAAGAGGTTAAAGAAGATTTTTGCCTATCCCAAAGATATTAATGTGAAAAAGAACACAGTAGACTAGGCAAGAATTTTAAACATAGTTCTCCAATTCAGAGAAGTCATTCTTCAACTGACAACCACCCAAAGCTAGAGAGCCCAGCTTACCCAGTTATTTTACTTATAGCTGGAAGGAGAAGAGAAGGATTCATGCCTTTTGTGAGGGTATAAGTGCGAAAGTGAACACGGCAGACAAGGAAAGTATTTGAATTCAGCTCAGAAATTCTAGAGGGTGCGATGGGTAAATTGTCGCAATTTTATATTTTGAATTTTGTCCGTGCATGTTTGTTTTTTTTTTTGATTTTCTCAACTGCATAGTTGGGCACTGTCTGTGACAAAAAGAACACCAGAATTCACTCCACCAGAATTTTGTAAATTGCATGCTGTACTGTTTGGCATTCTTCACACTGAAAGTTCCAATATAAACATTTCAGAACAACCGTTGGCTTGCTGTGTCAAGAGGGTGGCTGCTGGAAGACCCTATGTCTGGCAACATGACTCTGCACCATGCCACACAAGAAGGTGAACCCAGTCATGGCTGTCAGACAATTTCTATGACCATGTCACTCCTTACATCTGGCTACCTAACTCAACAGGCTGCAACCACCCTCCCTCATTATTATGTGTTGGGTGCAGTTGAGTGAGACACCAACAAAACTCCTTGTAACACCAAAGATGAAGTGAAAGCAAGGATTATGGCACCACTCATGAACTTAAACAAGGAAATGGTCCAGAAGAGTTGCAGGAGAGAACAATTCAATTTCCTAAATCTTGTTTAAATGAAACCTTATGGCTGAAACACACATTATATATATAACAGGGTAAACTAGGCTCTCTAAACTTGGGTGTCAGTGATTACACACACACACACACACACACACACACTTCATTGATCAATGCGGGCTGTTGACCTGAACTTCCTGGAGACCCTTTTTCACAATGTATGAGGGTTAGGCCATTCAGTTTCTATGAACTGACAGCCAGACAACCTGCATATATGATTGGATTATAGTGGTGAAGGTTTTGTGCCAAACCAACCACACTTTTTGAAGAGCTGAATACACAGACATGGTACACTGTGTGAAACAAGGTCTCAAAACGACTCTTCACAAGTTTTGAATTCAGAATTTTCCTTCTCCTAGACCAGTTGCCATCCAAGGCTATAGATCCCAGTCTGTCCTGCTATTTACACATAACTGGGAGACAAAGAAGAATATTCATACCTTTCCCAAAGGTACTAGCACATAAGTGAATGTAGCAGATTCAACTGCAATTCTAACAACTCTCTGATTCCTCGATCTGAGCTACCATCCATTATTCCACCATGCCTATATATATATATATATATATATATATATATATATATATATATATATATATAGACATTAAGATTGCCAAGCCATATATATATATATATAGAGAGAGAGAGAGTGTGTGTTTGTGTGTGTGCATATGGTTTGTCAATCTTAAGGTCTTTGTAAAGCAAAATTGTTCCAAGAGGCTTACTGTCTGATGAACCAAACTGGTGAAACTAAAGAAGCAAGTTAGCAAAAATTTTACATCTTAATTCAGATTATATATATATAAATGTGTGTGTGTGTGTGTGTGTGTCTCATGAATATGTAAACATATGCACATGTGAGTCTGTGCATTTGTGTATCTCTATCTCACACACACATTTATTAATTAAAAAATCACACACATGTATAAAGTGTGGGTGATTGTGATGTTTGTCAATATATAACACATCTACTTAAAGGACTAAGGGTTTATAAAAACATATTTCCTATCCTCTCCTTCAAAGCAAACCCTTTGTGAACAAGAGTACTGCTCGTAAATTGTGGCAATAAAAGTCCATACTGCATGAGGATCATGGTTGTTGTCTATCTTGGAATTTGGGGGTAGCAAATTAAACAACTAAATAGACACATGTAGACTAGCCCATATATAGTAAGGTACTGAAAAATTCTCCAGCCATCCCACTATCCCAAAATCAATCTTCTGATGTTTGGTCATTGAAATACTGATTTCTGGGTGTAGGTGGGGTCAAGAAATTTTCAGCATTCTTTGAGGACAATCTGAGAAAAGGAAATCCTTTCTTTTCATAAAATTGGTGAAAAATTTTTGAAGAGAATTTTATTTTTGGTGTCTTAAAAAGAGTTTTAAAGTGTTAAAAATTGTCTCTATATAATTTGTTTCTTAGATTTATTTCATATATACATATCTATATCACCATATTGACAGTCTGTTTCATGCTTGAACGTAATCTTTTAAAGATTGCATTGATATTTACAGACACACTATCCCAAATAAATAGTGAGCACTTTAACCAATAAATATAGTATACTTCAAAATTTTATACATATATATATATATATATATAAATATATGTATAAAAGAGGGATAACTACAATAAAAACCGGTTGCAATTTTACACTGAGAAACACTGAAGATATACAGATGACATCCTATGGATCTAGATAACCTATTTGACCTCATCCAGATTTCTATTGCTTTATATATAGGCATCCATAGATAGGCTGTTTTGCCGTATCACAGCTCATCAGTGTGGATAGACATGCAATTGCGTCAAATATATATACAGTGTAACCCGGATATAAGAGAGTTGTCGGGACCGGAGAAAAAGTCTCTTATATCCGGGTTTCTCTTATATCCAGGTTTTGTCTATTTTATATACATTAACACAGGCTCTAATTTGAGACCAGAGAAAATCTCTCTTATATCCGGGTTACACTGTATATATACATATATATATATATATAATTTGAAATTAAATTAATCTTTCACTGCCAGTACTTTAAAACCACCTGAATTGTAACTGTGTAATGATTTTTAACATGTTTTAATATCCAAAAGTAAATAATATTTAGCTCTACTATGTATTGAGTCCTCTTTTAAATTAAATGTTATGTACTGTGGAATCATACTTCATTTGTTCTCATTTTATATATATATATATATATATATATATATATATATAAAAATATCAATGTCTATAGTGTTTCCTATATTGAAGTATATATAAAATAAAGAATTTTTTAAAAATTTCTGTTTGACTGTTGTAAATGACTTGAGTGAATTAAAATTTGTTCCAGCAAATAAAGGAAAAATTGGAATTAGCCAAAAGCAGTTACGTAAACAAACAAAAAACAAAATCCTTGAAAACGATTGTAGCAATACTTAGGAGAAAAAACAAAAATGAACTTTTGAAAGTTTACCGATTATATAAAACAACTAATCAACTAATTCAGAAACTAAATAATTTCGATAGACTGAGAAGTCTATCCAAATTATTTAACCTTGTAAAACAAAACAAATTATTTATTTTTGACCTTGTCAAACAAAACTTGTATGAAAGGAAAATATAATATAAACGTCATATTTAATGGATATATA